TGAATAACCAATATGTCAAAGAGAAAAGGAAAATTGTAAAGAACTTTGAAATGAAAGAAACATATCAAAACTTAGGATGCAGGGTAAGCAGTGCTTACAGAGAAATGTTTGGATATAAGTGTGTACTAAGAAAAAAGATTTCAGGTCAATATCCTACCTAGTCGTTCACCTTAATTTGAAACTAGAAGGGGAAAAATAATAAAGATCAGAAATGAAATTGATGAAAAAGAATATTTAAACAGTAAAAACAACAACAAAAGAAAAAGAAAATTCAAATTATTAGAGGCAGAAGTGAAATAAGGGACATTACTACCAGCTTTACAGGGTTATAAGGGCAGTTATATACCAATAAACTAAATAACCTAGGTAGAGTAGGCAGTTCATGTAAAGACATAAACTACTGAAACCAACTTAAGAAACAGATAGTCTGAACAGACCTATAGCTTGTAGACTGCATTAACAATCCAAAACATGCCTAGAAGAGGAAGAATGGAGAGGAAAGCCCAGACCTAGATGGCCTTATTATGAATTCTGTCAAACTTAAAGAAGAATTAGTACCAATTCTTCACAAATGAATTTTTTAAAAAATCACAGAAGTGAAAATTTTCCAACTCATTCTAATGTCAGCCCAGATTTTAAAAAAAGAAAGAAGAATCAAAACCCAGAGTAAAACAAGAAACAAAATCTACAGCCCAATATCGCCTATAAGGATGACTCAAAAGTCCTCAACAAAGTACCAGCAAACAAACAGAAACAAAATATAAAAAGAATTATACACTATCACTAAATGTGAGGCTGGTTTGACATCCAAAAATGAACTGAGGTAATATTTCTCTTATCAGTGGACTGAAAAACAAAATCACAGTAGATGTAAAAAGAAACATTTGCCAGAATCCACAACACTTTAATGATAAATGCACTCAACCAACTAGGAATAGAAAGGAATTTCTTTAACCTTATAAAGGGCATCTACAAAAACACACAGCTGGCATACTTAATGATAAAAGATTATATTTCCCTGAAAGCATAGAAACAAGACATTGATGTTCACTCTTACCACTTCTGTTAAACATTGTATTGGATGTTTCTCTCATGACAGGCAAGAAGAAGAATGAAGGCAAGATTGAAAAGGAAGAAGTAAAACTATTCTCAGATGACATGATCTTATGTATAGAAAATCCTAAGAAATCCACTTAATCTTTTGATAGCTAAAAATGGGCTCAATAGAGTTACAGGGCACAAAAATCACACAAAAAGTAATTGTATTTATATTTTCAGGGAAGAATCAAGAAATGAAACAATTCTATTTATAGTAATATTTCAAAGAATAAAATCCTTAGGAATAAATTTAATGAAAGCAGTGTGCATAATGAAAGCACCTAAAACATTGTCAAAACAAAGATGATAGGAATGAAAGAAAAAATACCAATGTTCATGGATTGAATGACTTAATACTGCTACGGTAGATTATCCCAAACTGATTTGTAGATTCAATCTAATCCCTCTTAGAATTCCAGTTGACTTTTTTGTAGAAATTGACAGATGGGTGAGATTAAATATGGAATTATGAGAAATTCAGAATAGCTATAACAACTGTAAAAAAGTAGTAATAATTAAAAGTTTGACTTCAAAAGAATAGTGATCAAATTAGTGTCATGGTAACATAAATAGATACAATATAGCTCATTGAAATAGCCTTGAGTATCCAAAAATAAGCCCATATGTTGGCCAACTTAGTTTCAACAAAGGTGAAAGCACTATTTCATGGAAAAAGAATATCCATGACAAAGAATTAAGTTGGACTATTACTTTCCTTTATCCAGTATACTAAATTTAACTTAAAGTAGATCTGAATCTTAAGTGTAAGACATAAATTATCTGCCTGCCTGCCTTCCTTTTCCTTCCTTCCTTCCTTCCTTCCTTCCTTTGAAATATATTTTTGTCCTTGCAGTAGAACCTTAGATAGAATATTAAAAAGCTATGCAACAAAAGATAAAATGTATAAATTCTAAAAATTTTTAAGAAAATAAATTTTGTGCTTCAAAGGACACTACAAAGTGAAAATGTATCCTACTGAATGGGGAAAATATTTGCAAATCACATGTCTGATAAAAGATTTAATCTAAAATACATAAAGACTTAGCATAGGCAAAAAGCAATTGCTGTGCTCAGTTAATGGGAAGGCAGAGATAGAAGGATCGTGGTTTGGGGTAGCCTGGTCAACAGTTAGTGAGTTCCTATCTCAGAAAGCAAACTGAATGTGATGGCATATGCCTGTAATCTCAGCTACTCAGGAGATAGAGATTCAAGGAGCATTGTCTGAGGCCAGTTCTGGGCAAAATCATTGAAAACAAGAAGAGTTGGAGGCCTAGTACAAGTAGTAGAACACATGCCTAACACACACAATTTAATACCTATTCTGCCAAAAAACAATGTAAACATGTAAAGAAACATCTTTCCAAAGATATATAAATGACTGAAACATAAATGAAAAGGTTGCTTGCCAAGGAAACACAAATCAGAATCACAATAAGAAGGGCTAGAGGCATGACTCAAATGGTAGGATACTTGCCTAACAAGTATGAAGCCCTGAGTTAAAGCCCCAGCACTGCCCAAACAAACAGATCACAGTAAAAAATGGCCATAATAATAATTTTTAAAAACACAGATAATTACAGACATTGCTTTGTGGAAAAATTGAAGTCCTTATGCATTGCTAGTAAAAGTGTAAAATAGTGCAAAAGCTTCATTAAGGAGTCTGATAGTCTTTCAAAAGTTAAATTTATTGACCACCCAGCAATTTCATTCTTTCTTATATGCCTAAGAGAAATTAATACATGCATCCATACAAAAGCTTGTACATAAATGTTATTGCATTATCCATAATAATCAGTGGTGGGCAAAAAATCTAAGTATCTATTTGGACAGATTAATAAAATGTCTTGTATCTTTACTGAAATATTCATCCTGATACATATTAATTACAATGGCTTGAAAACATAAGCTAAATAAAAAGTCAGAAACTTCTTATTAATTTGTATAAGCTTTTCATAATGGGCAAATCTGCACATAAAGTAGATTACAGATTGCCTAAGGATGGGGGAATACTGATGTAGGAAAGTAGTAACTAAAAGATGTTGGGTTTACATTTGAGGTATTGGAATGTTCTAAAATCAGTAATTGTTGAAATATCTCCATTTGAAAACCATTGAGTTCCATTGAGTTACATACGTAACATCTTATTGGGTGACATGTGAATTATATTTCAATGGAATTGTTTCTAAAAATCAGTTAAAGTAATAATAGGTTTATAAGGAAAGGAGATCATAAGTGACAGGTGTAGGATTGGATTGCAGTTTACATAGATGGTCTGAAGTTAGCCATAGGATTATCTGAATAAGGGAAAACATTTTTCTAGGCAGACATAACTGCAGACACAAAGAGAGGCTGCATGTGTGTGTGCAGAATAGTCAAGAAGCCAGTGCAACTAGAGAGAAGTGAAAGAGAACATGAGGTTACAGACATAATGGGTCTCTCAATCACCCAGGTCCTTGTCAGATATTGTAAGATGGTTGGCTTTCCAAATACAGAAGTCTGGCTGAAGCAATGCATTTGTGAGTAATCAGCTTGTGGCTGTTATTTCAGACCCTGAAACCAGAAGTAATCACTAAATGAATGAGAATAAATATACAAGGACCAGATCTGTACCATTCCCAAATTAAGGAGTCTTGGAAAAGAGCAGGAAGCAAAGGAGACAAAGAAGAAAAAGATCAATGAGAGAATAGAGGAAATAAGAAGCCTGGTAAAGGAAGTGTTCAAGGCAGAGCAGACTACTATGTCATGTGCTGCTGATAAGCAAGCCCTGTGTAATGAGGATGGATAGTTGGCCTTTACAGCATCAAGTCATTGTCCAAGAAGGACAAGTTTTCTTGAACAGCCAGGGCAGAAGCCTGGTTGGAGTGGGTTTGGGATAGAATTAAAGTTGAAAATTGTGTACGCAGTCTTTCAGAGAAGAACTTTGCTGCAGCAGGAAACCAAGAAAAGAACTGGGGCAGCAGCTTATGTGCAAAAAGTTGGGGTACAAGATTCCCACCACTCATTTTTTTCCTAAATTGAGTAAAATAGCATCTGTTTCTACACTGATAGAATGATCCATCTGAGAGTATAGGCTACCCTGTGGGCAGAAGACATGAATGGAAAGGAGCATGGTGTTGGTCCAGCTAAAAGGCAAAGCACTCATAGATGGGAAATGCCAGAGGGGCAGCTTGTGACACTTGTAATATTTTAATCCTTAGACCAACCCTGTGAGTTAGGGAGGAACTGCAGTGGTCCCAATTTGCGGTTGAGGAAACAAGCTGTAAGAAATTATTCATGTAGGAATATCGCCAAAGTGTAGAAAGCCACCTGCTTTGGGGACATACGTGCTATTGTTGGTGTTTCTGATTGCTGACCAAAAAAGCCTGCAATTCTGTTTTTGTATGAAACAATCTCTCTCTCTCCTACCCAGAAAAACTTTTTTTTAAAACAAATATTTTTCTGGTTTAAAATCATGTTTTCTCATAATGTCCTGAAAAAAAAAAAAGGCCAGAAAGTTGTCTAATGCTGTCAGGTTAGCCATAATCCTGAAGGTGCTGTCCTTGTGAAATTAGTTTCTTAGGAAAGAGTTTCTTAGGAGAAATGAAACATACATGCCATCCAAGAGTCTGAAGTATAATCTTTTCTATTACAGGCCATTGATGTTACTGGTTGCTGTCTGTTTCAACCCACTAAATCTGTCCCCCCCCCCCCAATGGAGGCTTCTGCCCAATACATTTCTAAGGAAAATCTCATTGAGTTTTAAATAAGTCTAACAAAAGGGACTGAACACCAGTTAGATGAGTGAAGATGCACAAAGACATTTCTCAAGGGAATGGGGAGGGGGGTCATTGTTTTAAGACACACAGTATTGTTTTGTGCAACATTGTGAACTTAAAATATATTTATATTAATATTGTCTATAGGTCCCTTCCAGTCTCAGAAAAAGAACTTATTCCACAAAATTGTCAGCAAATATAAGCACAAAAAGGAGAAGCCTAATGTTCCAGAAAAAGGTATTGGTGCCTTCCATCCTCCATTAAGGTTTCCTGGTCACCTCCATCACAATCTCATCTTTGAGCAAGCCTTTGCTGTTCCTCCCTGCTTGCTTTAGTGCCATCAGCTCCTATACAGGTGTTTTTATCTTCCTAGGCTCCACTGCTAATTACAGATTTCCTTCACTTAGGTTCCCACTCAAATGCATACTTGTCTATATGATCAGGGCTCTACATGAATTGTAATCATTTTACAACTTAGTCTTCTTGGACTCTGATTGTTTTCTATGGAAATTGTTTTTCTCATGTTTGGCAGTCCTTCATACCATGACCACATTTTCCTACTCCCTAAAATCTTACAGTTTTGTACTAATGTGAACGTTTTGCCATTTCTATACCTTTTCTTCCAATTGGGAAGCCTCCTGGTCCCTTTTCACCTCTCGCAAGTTGTAACTTACCTCCTTTCTCCCCATCTATGTACTTCATCCTAGGCTGAACTCTTTTCCCTGCCACCTGTCACAAATCTTATTTCCAGAGGGCACTAGAGACTTACGTACTCTACTCCTCTTTCCTCTTAACATCTATCCCATTGTTAGGATCTTGATGGGCCCTTGAACCTCTTCAGGACTCATCTTAAGATCTCTTTCTTCTTAGTTCAGGACTCTTAATCTTGCACAAAACAATGTCTGCCATCTGGCTCAATATAACCTTGTGTGTCCTAGAAGTTCAACTTTCTTTGGTGTCTACCTGCATGTCAGTGTTGTTGCTACTATAAACCTATTCATTTGATACCCATTTGCATTCTACTTGCATGGCTAGGGGAGGCTTTAAATGCAGCTGTCTTCTGCCTGTGGTCAAAAGTGTTTATACATTCCTGTATGTAGGCTTTTACTTAATTTGTGCATTCACCCCACTGTAGCTTCTTCTTCTTTTTGTTTTCTGCATTGATATTGTTTTTTTTCCTGCTTCCAGTGAAGAAACATATTCTTTACATAAAATGTCAGCTTTTCTCATTTCCTTTTACTGATTTTCAAGTTACCTTTATTAAACTCACAAAAATTATCTACCAGTATATCGATCTCATAACTGACAAAGATATGTTTATTTTTATCTTTTTTCTATGAGACCTGAGTAGTTTAGTTGGAAAATGCAGTTTGTAAAATAAAATAATTAAAATTAAATCCACTCTATGTGTGTGATGTTTTCTGTTTTTAATATTGTCTTGTTTTATAGCATTTCTGTTTATACTAAGTAGATCTTCACTGACCTTTCCTTTTCTTTACTGTTTTTAGGAAGTGGGGATAAATGGTCACATAAGCAATTCTTCTTGGATGCCATTCACCCTACAGAAGGTAAAAGAAGCAATTATTTAAATGTACATAGCTTAAACTAGAAATGGGATGATTTTTAAAGGTTTAATAAAACCCCTATAATTTATATTGATCATCTAATAGAATTAGACCTATGTGTTTATACTTAGGTAATTTTTTAATTGTAAAGATACTGTACAGAGGGGTTATAGTTACAAGAGTAAGATAATGAGTACATTTCTATCGAGCATTGTTACCCCCTCCTTTGTTTTCCACCTTGTATCCCTTCCCTCCCAACTCCTTCATCCCCCTCACCCGAAAAAAGTTCGTTTTCGTTTTCAACATAGCATCTTGTACATCTCATTGTTACAAATGGGTCAACCTGTATCCTTGTTTCAACATTTAGTTATTTCACTTCCCTTCCCCAAATTAGAAAAATGTATCAGTTAGCATAATTTTATATGGTCATATGTACATAGCTATTGAGCTATTGTGATCCTGTGCTAGGAGGTTATTTCTAATTTTCAAATCAAAACTTGTTTTGGGGCTCCTGCTATTGATCAGACAGTATCATGTGATATTTGACTTGTTAAAGGGGACTGGTTACCTCTGAATCACATTGGTGAAGATTCCAGTTTTTTAGTAGATGTGTCTGACTTTTGTAGTTTGTGTTGCAAGCAGATGCTTATGATAGTAGAAGTCAAAACCAGGCATTAAAGAGCTCACTGGCTTGACTGCACATGAGCAATCCTATAGAAATGATTTGTGACCTTAATGTTTCTCCTAACCTGTTTCCCAGTACCTTAAATATGTTAAAAGATAATGTCCTTGTGGCATATCTGAAGCCAAAGGAAAATATAATATTAACTAGATATGTTTTATAGGTCCTAGTTTAAGATTTCCTACAACCATATTAATTATGATTAAATATTGAAACTTAGGGCTTGTTTCTATGTTCACTAAGAAACCCTCCCACCCTTTTTCCCATCAATTCTTTTTCTTTTTCATGGTAGGTATTTTTAAGTCCTCAACATTTTTGTAGTGCTTCATTTCAAGTTACTTTATCTGAAAACTCTTAATGGATCTTATCCTATGATTTAGAGGAGGGAATTTAATCATCAACCTCCTTCACTTGACTCCCAGATACCAAAAATTCACCTTTGGCCTAAGTCATTTTTCAGAGACACTCATTTTTGAGGTACTTATTAAAAAATGTCTAAGATTACTATTAATGATAAACTTGTTTTCATTTGGTAGGTGCGGTATGCATGAGCATGTTTGTTTTCATGTCATTTTATTCTGACAACAGATGACAGCAGCATATCTGCTGTCTGACTTGATTGCTTTTGTGACTTGTATGGATCATGAGCTCTGCTTAAGTGCAGGCAACACAAAATCAGACTTGTGCTGCTCCCAGCACTATCTTCTAATATTCACAAATTGCATTAGTAGCTCTTAGGTATTTAAATAGTGAATTTGGCACAGATTTGATGACTGTAAGGTACTGATGAACTATCAGAGACATTAAAGTCATTTAACACCACATTAATCGTTACTTGAAAAGATACTATTCTAAATAGGTTCTTTTGTTTCTTTGAACACCAAAATTCCAACTGAGGTGTGTCCTGTGGCAGAAAGATCGCTTAATTTTGTAGCTGAAAGATCCAGTTTTTCAGATCTGTCACTGAGCAGCGTTTTTCAGTAGGACAAATTGTTTAACCTCACTAGGATTTATTTCACATTTGGTCTAAGTGCGTACATGATTTGTAGTTTGGTTATATGATAAGATATAGTAATAGTAAATTATAGCCTCTTTTTTCCTCTAGTACTTGGTGACTTTGTTGCTGTGGTATCTTGAGTAGCAGTATGATGCTAAAAACAAAATATTCTGCAGCCCTAATTTTCTGCTTTGGGGGCCAGAAGAGTAAATCATGAGTCTTATGGAAGTTCCAAAGTTTAGTAGAAGTAATGTTGGTAATATTTAAATAGACATAATGTATATGGAACAAAACTTTGGAGAACACTCGGTAAAGAATGCATGTCCTTTATTTAGTATAGAATGCAAATTTCTTTTCAGTGACTAGGAAAAAAGCAATCAATTTCAGCATCAGAAAATTACTAGTAATTTAAAGTGACCCTTTTTTGATTATTTATTTCCATACCATCCCTTGTTTGGGTGGTTACTGTATGCTTTGTAAATTATCTATGCCCTTTACTTCATTTTCTCTCACCTATGGCCATATGAGTGCTTATTAAAACTTTACTTGGAGGAAAGAAACACATAAAGCAGAAAATGAAACCATAATACAGGATAATTTTAACTTTTGTAAGCCATCCTGCACAGAGGTGAAACAGGAATTGTTTGTAGCTAATGTCTGTTATAGAAATGTTGGTTTAGCTGAGGGTATGCAGCTGCTCAGCTGTTCCTGACTTCTGTTAAAAGTAGGAAAGGTAGAGTTCCATACATTTTCTTTACAACACCCTGTGCCTAATTGCTTTTGCAATTCACTTTTTTTTTTTAATGGAAGTGCTGAGCCTTGAATCTGGGCCTAGATACTATTCCTGAACTCCTTTTGCTCAAGGCACTCTACCACTTGAGTCACAGCTCCATTTTTGTCTTTTTCTGTGATTAATTGGAGATTATTCTCATAGACTTTCCTGCCTGGGCTGCCTTTGAACTGCACTTCACAGATCTCAGCCTCCTGAATAGCTAGGATTAAGAACATGAGCAAATGGTGCCTGGCTGCAATTCACTCTTTCAAAAATATTATTTATTAGAAATCTTTAGATGCATCTGAGATTTAAGTTCTAGATCTATCATCTGTCTTAAGTATTTTTGCTTAGGTTTTTAAAATTCAACATGGCTAAACCACTTCTAAAAACCTTTGCATATGGCTTAAGAATTAATTAAAGGTAGAATTTTCTGATGAACTGTGAGACCTGACTTCTTGCTATTGTATATATCTTTCCATAAGATGTATTACCATAATCTCATGCTTAAGCTAGTATTCATTAAGCCTGAATAATTATTCTACTATGATGATAGTTAATATTTAATAACACTTTATAACTTACAGAGGGCTGTTGTATATTTTTAACAATTTTTATCTTTAATGGCAGCCCCATTGAATTAAGGAGGGTTTATAACCTAAACTAAGAAACTGAAGCTCAATCAACAGAAGAAAATGGGAAAGAAACTAGTCTTCTGTCCACTTAAGCACTTTGGCAGCTATAATTTCAATTTCTCAAGCATGTCCATAGACTTTTACCCCTCATTTAGTTCAGGTGTGGTTAAACACAAATGGTTTCCTACCAAGCAAAACAAAAACTTCAGTCTTCTCTCCATCAGAGAATAGTTTGTTTGTAATGTAAAAATGGAATTTCAGGAGTACAAGAGTTTTTCAGATATGATCCGCTAGGTCTCTTTTTTGCAATTTCAATAATTGCCATATAATTTAAGTGGAATATCCTAGGATTTTAGATGAGGTTTATTCTACTCTTTTCTTCTGTTTCATTTGGCATTTGACTGCTGTTTGTGCTTAGAGAAGACCAAACAAAGGCAATGACATTTCTGATCTGGCTATAATAATCTTAGTGCAACTTGGAATTCTCCAGTTGGAAAGTGAATTTTGTGATTCTTGTTACCCTCTGGGGTACAGTCTAAATACAGTGCTGCTTTCCCAAAAAAATGTACTTCTCATTTTGGATATAGGATTTGTAAAAGATGACAATCTTTTATTGCCACATTTTTACTGTGGCTCCAGGAGTGAGTCCACATTATCACTCTCAGACGAAGTACTCCACAAGTGTTATGGTATTGTTGAGAGTAAAACTAGCCCCATGGACTTGTTCCACATTGCTTGGAAAGTTTTGTGTGTTCCAATTAAAAGTCAAAAGTGAAATGACTAATTTTCCTTTTGAGGATAAAGCCTGTCTCTTTTCTTCCTCCCCCCGCCCCCCTCACATTTCCATTAGTTTGAGGAGAGGAAGAGGAGCTTATTTTCTTCTCTGAGCTCTTTTTCTTTGATGTCCCATACCACTCAGCCTTTTGTTTGCTCATCTTTTGTTCATCATGGCAGAACTCCATCTACTGTTTTATTCCAGACAAATATTTCTTTGGCTGAACCTTATTTACCTTCCCTAATTCTTGTATTTCAGAAAGTATGTTACCTTCTCTTCAAGGTCAGAAAGACTGACCTGAAGTAGAAAGGCTAATCTCAGTATAGTTCACCAAACAGGGTCAAAGCATGGGACAAGACTCTTAATTTTTCAAGTGAAGAGCCAATTTATTTCTAGATCTAAGAGGTTTAGAGAAGACTTCTTGTTTGTTTGTTTGTTTTGCTTTGTTTTGTCAGTTGTGCGGCTGGACTTAGGGCTTGGGCACTGTCCCTAAGTTCTTTTGCTCAAGATTAGCTTATTTATTTATTTATTTTTTGGTCGTGGGGCTTGAACTCTGGGTCTAGGCACTGTTTCTGCACTCTTCATCTCAAGGTGAGTGTTCTACCACTTGAGCCACAGCACCACTTCTGGTTCTCTGGTGGTTAACTGGAGATAAGAGTCTCACGAACTTTGCTGCCTGGGCTGTTATCTCAGCCTCCTGAGTATCTTTACAGGCGTGAGCCACTGGCCCTTGAGAAAAGACATTTTCTAAGTGTCATTACCACTTCCTAAGAGGACTTATGAGAACTAGTGTGTGTTTTTTTTCTCTTCCACTAGTCTGCAGCCTGATTCTTCTCTTTACTATCTCCCAGTGTGTTGACAGTAGATAGATGCATTTTGGCAGATAGACTAGTCTTTAACCCCTTTTCCCTGTCAGCTGATTTCAGATCCTTTCTTAGTCCCAGGCTTAGTTTCTTTGGGCCCAAACTGTGCTTTCCACTTGCAACCAGGCCTCTTTGACCTCTTACTGTGTTTTTACTAATCCATCTGCAACAGACTAGTAAAGGAACAACCATCAAACAGAAATGTAGCTATCTGAAGGCTCATCAATAAAACAGAAAACAAAGAAAATAGTTCTAATCAAAGCAGTACTTTTCCTCAGCTTTGGAACTTTGGAGATGAAGGTTTGTTTTTCTCTGGCCAAGACCCTGATTATAGTCTGTGGGACAAGTCTGAACCTATCATTACATAAAGATCATAGTGGCATGGTCCCATAGTTAATAAACTACAAATTAAAGAATAGAAGCAGGTTACTCTGACAATTGTTTGTGTAATCCATAGTCTCTGTGTGGAAATAGGTCATCTTTTCCCAAAACACTTGGCCATTTTGTTGTATCCATATCTTTTCCTTGGCTCTTCTTTATTCTGATGATAGTATACCTTTCCTCTCTGAAAATCTTCTTCTCACAAGTTCTCAATTTCTTTTTCAAGAGGAAGTAGTAGAAAGGGAAAAGGTTGCTATTACAATATGCATGTGTAATACGATGATAACATGGGAGAGATGAACAAGACTCCCTCTGTAATTACCATGGACAAATGATGGATTTGGATAAGAAAATAGAAAAGTTGAAGCCTATGAATACACAACAAGTTAATGCTCATTATTAATTCAGATCTTGGCTTCTTCTAAGAGGCTAAAACAGTCATGAAACCTGTTTGAAATGTTTCTAACCAATTTTCTTTTATTACATGCAAAGCATTTATTGAATTTTAAATATCATGCATGGTGGTGCATAACTGTAATTCCAGCTTCTCAGGAGGGCAGAGGGTTGGGAATACTATGGTTTGAGGCCAACTTGAGAGAAAATGCTAGCAAGACCCCATTGCAACCAATAAGCTAAACATCTGTCATCTCAACTACTATAAATAAGAGGATCACAATCTAGGCCAGTAGTCCTGTTAACAACACAAATCTCTACCTAAATTTTAGAAAGGTGGTAGCATGGTTCAAGTGGTAGAGTGCCTATCTAGCAAGCACAGAGCCCTGACTTCTAACCCCATGTTTATCTAAGTGAAGCTAAGTGTCAAAGTGTAAATACATTCTAAGACTAAGCAGTAGTTTGCATGATCAAAATTACTCTGTGGTTGTGGTAGATGTACAGTTAAAATTTTTTTCCCCTGACTTTTGACTACTTGCCTGAAATGGTGTTTGGAAGCATTTTCAAATAGGTTTTGTTTTGTATTTTAAATAGTTGCTATTTCATGTCACAACTCAGCTGTATGTTATGAAATGGGCTTTCTTTTTAGTATACTTGAAATTATTTCTATTTATTTGTTTACTTATTTTTGAATGTGACACCTGGAATCATCCTCTTCAGGCCTCATTCAAGGACAGGTCACCATAATTTCCATGGCAAAAACTCTTACTAATTCATATCCCTCCCATCTCACAGAAACACCTAAACCCATTAGGGAACTGGGTTAAATTCTTTAATGAGGACTACACAAGTATTTATACCAATAACACTCTAAATGAGTTTTGTTTTGTTTTTCTTTGCAGTATGGGAGTTTGAACTCAGGGCTTCCAGCTTTCTTGGCTAGTATAACACTGCTGACACAGCCTTACTTGCTGGTTTTATTTCTTCTTATTCTGGTTTTTACTTTTTATGTTATATTACTTTTTTATATGTTTTTTGTAAAAATACTGTACAGAGGGGCTACAGTTACATGAGTAAGATAATGAGTACTATATTACTTTTTATGTTACACTTTTGCCAGTCTCTGTCTGCCTTTGGATCCCTCCCCTGATACATATCTTTTAGTTATCCTCCATGTTTTGTTCTTTTGGGGTTTATCATGCCAAACTTGGTTTGCTTAATTTCACATTATTCCCCCTCTTGGTCAATAATGATCTCAGTGCCTGTCTTAAGAAAGTAGATAGAAAACTACTACCAAAAAGCCTTTAGACTACTGAAATCAAAAGAAAAATTTAAATCCCAATTATAAAAAGCTTATGTACTCTTAAATGCTTCCTAAATTCATATCTGCATGTTCTCTCCTTGCTTTTAAGGGAAGGATAGGAAGGATGAACTTCAAAGGAAAGAGAGTATATAGGATATATATATATATATATATATATACATATATATATACATACATACACACACATATATATGTCTTCCTTTATGTATTCAGAATTACTCAGAATTCAGTAGTGTGCTATAGATGACTTACTGTTTTAACAGTGTCCTATCCATAAATGTATATTTAAGAATAATATATTTGATTTCATAGTTCTCTGAAGATACAGCACTTTTACTGCCCCAGCTCAGCCGAAAGAATTGCAGATAGAGTTCTAATAACAAGAAGTATTTGTGATATCTTGGGATAAAATTTAATACAATTTTCAGGATCCACTGACTTAAAAAAAAAGTTTTTCCCATCACTTCTTTGAAAACTCAATGTAAATTCTCCATTGAGGTGGATTAGACATTTAGAAATGCTTTCTTCCCAGAGCAAAATTGGTATCTTGTATTGTGTTTAACTGTATATGCTTTATCCTATTCCAGCCATATTTTCAGAAGACAAAAATACTATAGAGCCTGCTCTGAAGGTTAAAAATGCCCTACCCACTTTCAACACTCCAGAGCCAACAGCAATGCAAGAACCTCTGGTGGGCAGCCAAAAAAGAAAAGCAAGGAAAACCAAGATTACCCACCTTGTCAGGACTGCTGATGGCCGGGTATCACCAGCAGGAGGTACTTTGGGTAAGAAAAGGGAGCTTTTAGGTCAACATATCTAGAGCCAGCAGGTAGCTGTCATGGTCACATTAGTCAGCAAAGGTGTATAGGCCAGCTGTCTTTCCTTATTGAAAAATGGGTCTGTTCTAAAGCTTCCTATAGGCCTCCATACCCATTTTTGTTCCCACTTTAAATCATAGCTACTTTTCTAAGAGTATATCTGAATTCCTAGAAAGGAAAGATAATTTTTAGGACTGTCAGCTTCTTTTCCTCAGCATGTACAAAATGAGTCTTGATTAAGTAAATCCCAAAAGAGCTTAGACTTTCAGGGATACTGGATGAATCTTTGCTATTCATGTCATTACAGCCAGATTTATCAGGTATTCAACCTAATAGACTAAGGAATCTTAAAATGCATCTAGCATTTTCTATAGAGCTGACTCAGACTACTCCAGGAGTCTGAAATGCATCTGGAATTTTTTTAACTTTTTTAAAATTTTTACTTTTTAGTTCTCTAGACCAAAAATCCAGTACATTTCTCCTTTTTCAGTCATAGTCTGTGGCTTGTATTTGTTGATTTTGGTCTCCCTAGCAATAGAATTCCTGGCTTTAAGATAAAGGTTTAGGACAGTGAGTGCTATTGATCATTATCATCCCCAGAGAAACCTTGAGGGTACTATGCCAGCTGCGCAGTAATGTTCTAAGCCGTTGCTCGTCAGCCCCTCTGTCATTTTATTTTGTCTGGTTTGGGTTGATCTAGTTTTTCAGTGAGATGACAGAATTAGAAAATTGTTAATTTTGTTAATTGTTAATTATGTTTTATATACATTAATTAATAGAACCATAAGCATGTTAAATATTCTAGATATGTCTCTCTCTTATATGAGATGGAATCTACCAAGTTGAGTTATATGCCCGAATGCATTCAACTAAGTAGAAGTTGGACAAAGTCTGAAATCTTGAAGTAGTGATAGTAGTCCAACAGGCCTCCCCTTTCCTTCCCAATCTTGGTTCTGTTCTGTGACTGTTATATCCTTATTTACTGGTGATTGTACATTTTCATTTGTAGAAGAACTGAAGATTCTAGGAAATAGAGTTTTTTTTAGGATTTTATTTTGTTAGCATATATTTGTTGTACAAAGAAGGTTGTGAGATTTCCATATAGTCATACAATGTTTCCCACTCAAGCTTACCCTCATTATCTCTCTCCCTTATCCATCCCCCCACTTTTTTTGTTTTTTTTTTGGAATGTTTTTATTATTTTTAAGTAGTTACACAAAGGAGTTGCCATTCAACAAGGCAGTTTATGAATACTGTTCCTCTAGATCACCCACCTACCTCCCAACCCACCCCTTCCCTCACTTTTCTTAATTTTTATATTATGTATTGAATTAACATTATCAACAACAAGCTTTATCATTCTATTTTCATACTTGTATATAATATACTTCAATTATATTTGCCTTCATATGCCCTCTCCATTAGCATTTTCTACTGGTACCTGCCACCCCAGTCTATTTTACTTTCTGTCATTTCATGGAGGAATGTGCCATGCATTATTTTCATCCTAATATGTGAAATTGCTTTTCTCTTTGTTCATATTTAAAATCCAAGATAAAGCCAGATGTATTGGTGTACACATGTAATCAGAGCACTTTGGAGACTGAGGCAGGAGGATCGCAAGTTCCAGGACCACCTAGAGTGGCATAATGAGATCCTACCCAGAAAATAAATAAATCAACTAAATAAGCAATCCTTCTTCTATAGTGTTTGCATACTAAAACATTCTCATTTCCAACAGGTAGAGTTGCACAGTACCTTCATCTGCCTCTTCATAAATATCAGAAGATCCTTTCTCTTCTTTTTAGTGTAGGTCTTCAGAATAAAGCATGGGATCTTACTAGAATTGATCTTATGAGGATTAATCCCTTAATTTTTCTGTTTCTTACCAAATGTTCAAGTTGCTGTAGTAGGACAGACATAGCATGGCTCCCTAAGAAGTATTTAGTTGAGGGTCTCAACTACAGAAATCCCTTGGGCTTTATTTTAGCCAAAGCTTATTTTTCCTTCCAACTTGACCTTGAACAAAACATAGTTTATCTTCAGCTCAGCTTCAGGGCACAGCACTGTCTGTCCATGGTTGCAAATTTCAGTTGAGCTTAATAAAAGTGCTTTGTCATTGTACAAGAGATTCTGTGAAAACCTTAATATTCAGTGTGGAGCAGAAGTGAACAGAAAAGCATGCTAGCTCTTTCACTTTGTCTGGCACAACATTTCTCAGCAACCTTTCTCTGGAGAGCAGACTGATGCTTTTATAATGGATTTCTCTTTTGTTACAGATGACAAACCAAAGGAACAACTGCAGAGGAGTCTCCCTAAAGCAACTGAGACAGACTGCAATGACGATTGTGTACACAGAGCTGAGGCCGGGGAGACACGGAGCAGCACTCCAGAAATGCCTGCTGTGTCTGCGTTCTTTAGCCTCGCCGCACTGGCAGAGGTAGCAGCCATGGAGAATGTGCACAGGTTAGTGTAGAGTGTGAATGGAGAAATCAATGTGGAAACCTTTGATCTGACTTGTGACATTTTTACCACTTACCAAGGTTCTGATTTAGCTCATAGGTACCTTGGTTTATATGAATTTTTATAAAAGTACATATGCTAATTATCCCTATAGGAAAACCCAAGGGAACAATATTGGCTGTAGTTAAACTTGATTTCCATAGAAAGCCTGAGCCCAAGGAAGCAGCATTATCTAGTAAGTGTGATACCAAATGGAAATTGGAGTCCTATATCAGTCATCTTAAGCATGAGCATTAACCTCTCTTGCCCTTAGATTTTTCTTTTATGAAATGGGTGGGTGGCACTCATTTCACAGAGATGACTGACATATCCCAGTGCTTGCAATTAGGAAACGTATCTATTAGAGATGGTGGTAGTAGTGTCACCAGCTATCAGAACAGAGTGGTTCAGGAGAAGGGAGTATCTTGTCATCTGACTTAGTGTGCAGAAAGCTGGATTTCTCTTTGACTGTGTGATTTGCTGTAAAGTAATTTATTTCTCTGTTCCTCAGTTTGCTTATTTTAATTGCATATGATGTAAAGTATATGCCAAGGAATCACAGAGTTGTTCAGATCAGATAAGATCATAGTAGTGAAAATCCTAAAACTCTTTGACCTTGACAAAGTCCCACAGAAAGTATGCTAAGTTCTAAGTGTATAATTGAGTATTCTGGTACTTATTGGGTCATTTGGGAAAGCTGTACAAGCCTTTTATAAGGCCAGATTTTTTTTTTTAATCCAAACTGGAGTAGCCATGCATGAGTATCTTTCTTAGACTTTGAATCTAAAAGCTCTTGAAGCCTGTCATAATCTGAATAAGTACCTGTCCGATTTTATGCCCTTTCTCACATCCAAGAAATCCTGGTGGTCCATATATGAGTTTTGCTTTCTTTTTGTTCTTTGCCTGTCATATTGCAAATCTACTGTCTCACAGTCTGTATACATTTCTAAGAAGAGGAGAAGGTGGGGGTTAGAATGCAGTCAGAATTCAATATATAGCCTACAATTTAAGAAAAATGAAGGAAAGGATGGGTGAGAAGATGCATTATATACATAAACTGCTTTTTAAATGGCAACTCCTTTGTGCAACTACTGAAAAATAATAAAAAAATGTACTTCAGTTTTGAAAGGTCACATGCACCCCAAAAATATATAATTATTATTTGTCAATTTAAAATTACATTTCAATAAAAGAAACCACTTTCAATTTTTAAAAAGGAAGAAAAATCCAACTAATATTGATTACTAGCAGTTTGCTATCAAGCTGACAAATAGTTAGTGTTCTTAATATCTAGAAAGACAGATCACCTTGTGGTCTTGTAACTTTAGCCCTTGTCTGTTAAGGCTTACCTTACAGCCAGCCTTATTACCTGGGCTGCACTTAATTATTACTTAAGCATCACTTACTTGGTTCACAGAATTAGGGGAAGATATTCACAACCTGAGCTATTGCCCATGAACACAAAACACTCAAGTTCAGGAACTCAACACTGTAGTACAGTTTTACAAAATACAGGAGTTACGTGTGTGTGTGTCGTGTGTGTGTGTGTGTCGTGTGTGTGTGTGTCGTGTGTGTGTGTGTGTGTGTGTGTGTGTGTGTGTCCAGTCCTGGGGCTGGAACTCAGGTCCTGGGTGCTATCCCTGAGCTTTTTTGCTAACGCTCCACCACTTGCAACAACTCCACTGGCTTTTTCTTGGTTATTTGGAAATAAAAGTTCCATGGACTATACTGCCCAGGCTGGTTTTGAATGTGATCCTTAGATTTCAGTCATCTGAATATCTAGGATGAAAGGCATGAGCTACTAGTACCTGGCTTAGGTAGATCTTTGTATTCACATTTAAAGGTAGTGCAGATGGTTAATTAACTTGTTGAAAGCACCTAACTAGTTCTCACTTGTGTCAGGAGGTCTTTGGATTCCAGAGTTTGCTCTCTGCTCTAATACACATCCTAAGCACATCATAGACACTCATGAAGAGTATTACCTCCAAGTTCTCTCTGTCTCTCTCTCCCTCCCCACCCTTTCTATTTTTTATATTCTGCTTTCCCTTTCCCCCTCCTTCTTTTCCAATACTTATTAAAATTCTCTTGGATCTTTAAATATTATTCAATAAACCTTAAGGCATAAAATAGCATTTCAATTTCATCTTTTCTTGAAAGAAGCTAAACATATTGAACAACTGGTGCTTACAGAAGTCACACATGAATGAGCAAATTAATCCAGAGGTTTAATTCTAATACACGTTTTGTTTTTCTAAAATCCTAACTATCTTGTACTGTTCAGTGATCATGGAATCATTCATTCCCCCAAATGCTGTGTCTATATTATTTTTCTTTTTGTATACATGAGGAGAAATTTCAGTATAATTATAGAGCTGATGATATAATTTGAATCTTAAAACAATTCCTTTTGTTTGCATACTCTGAAGAGGAATACTTTACTGAAAAGTAAAACTTTTTGCACCACAGGGCAGTAGAGAAGACACAGAGGTAGATGCTCCTTGGCCACAGTGACAGGCCCATTCGCAAGTTCCAGGGAGGTGCCCATTCCCATCTTTTTACAATGAGAAGATCTGTAGAAATTGCCAAGAATTTTTTTAACAGTTCTCATAACCCTGGAGCAATCTGTATATTTAACTACCAATTATACAAGAACTAAATAAAAAATTCATTTTCAGCCCTATCTGGAGTTCTCCCTCCATATGTATATTGATTGTGGCCCAGATAGGCTAGATTTTCTTGCAATCGAAAATCCAGTCAAGTGCTTGCTTCCCACCACCCCCACCCCACTCACTTGCTTTCTCTCCCCATCTCTCTGTCTTTCTCTCCATTCTTTCCATGTCCCTGTCAGACTTTATAGAAAAGGATTGATCCTTCACTCACTGTTTACTCATTGCTCTTACTGGCCTTAAGTTTTAAATTGTGTGTATTGTTGTATATCATTTAAGAAATGAGCCAGGGATTACCAATTTTATAGGAGTTTTCTGTTGGGGAAAATGAAGGAAGGAATGTCATTTTTGGTGTCAGTTCATCAAGAGGAAGATTGTTATCCCAGAGCCTTAACCTGTGATTGAAAGTTTTTCACTTCTTTTTTCTTTTTTTTGGGTCCGGTCGTGGGGCCTGAACTCTGGGCCTGGGTGCTGTCCCTCAGCTCTTCAGCTCAAGGCTAGCACTCTACCATTGAGCCACAGCGCCACTTCTGGCTTTTTTCTTATGTGGTGCTGAGGAATCGAACCTAGAGCCACGAGCATGTAAGGCAAGTGCTCTACCACTGAGCCACCTTCCCAGCCCAGTTTTTCACTTCTTAATGAATTTGAATTGTTTGAAATGGAAGTATTTAAGTGTTTGGGGCCAGAATGAATGTTGGGCATTGAGATTTTTTTAAAAAAATGTCTCAGCAAAAGAAAAAAAAATGAAAAAAGCAAAAAAAAAAAAACTAAGGACAAACAAAATTAGTTTTAATAATGTAAGCAACAAGCCAGCTTTTGCTTTTTGCCATCATTACCCATTGTGTTCTCATGCGTCTGACGCTGTACCTTCAGTGATTTTTTTTTCTTCTCTTGTGTTACAGAGGTCAGAGGTCAACTTCGCTCACCCATGATGGACAGCCAAAAGAAATGCCACAGGCTCCTGTACTTATTTCTTGTGCTGACCAGTGATGCACCCTTTAATTGTAAAACATTGTGCTTTACCTACTATCCTAGCCTTGTCTTTACCAAGGGATGCTAGTGAGTCCGTGTATGGAAAATATAAACTGCAAACAAGAGCTTGTTGCCCTACATGGCCCAGATTCACTTGAAGCAGAAGTTAGCATCCTGGGCCAGTTCTTTCAGAACCCAGAATCGTTGAGGGTATCGTTATCAGTCTGATAATGAGCAGAAATAGAATAATCCTGGAGCTCTGCTTTCCGTTGAAGGCTTTTGACGGTAATAGGTGGTAACTTGGTAAAAGGCTGCCTTTACTGTAGCTCACCCAGCATCTCTTACCAACGAGAGAGTGTGAAACTAGTTTCATATATTACCTAGTTATTCTTTCAAAACAAAAACAAAAAAAAAACAGAAAAAAACAAACTGACGCACTGCACTAGTTATTATTAGATATTCTTAGTCTTTTTTGTACATGGAGATTTAAGTTCTAAGATGGTTTATATAATAGGTTATACCTACATTTATATTGTAGAATAAATATTAAAATGCCTGTTCCTGAGACTCCCAAGCAGGGTGGCAGGCAGCAGATGTACCATTGTTAGCGGTGTATGCTCGGCCTCATGGTCCATAGATTCTGCACTTTTATATTTGCCACCAGAGTGGTAATTTGCTGGCAAAGAGATATGAGAGAGAAAGGAGAGAGAGAGAGAGAGAGAGAGAGAGCGAGAGAGAGAGAGAGGAAAAAGAGTTACAATTCTTACAATCTGAATTTTTTCTTAGCCTTGAGAGACCAAGAAGAATTTGCTTGGGGCAAATTGTGGCAAATACTTTCCCATACAAGGGAAGAGTCCTGCAGATTACAGATTCCTGGTGTTTTCATGCCTTGAGGATTCTTCACTTTTTACACAGAGGTCTCTGTGACCAATGGATCGTTCATACAAACAAACAACAAAAAAAGACAAAAATATTACTCAGAAGTGACCTTAGTATTACTTCACTATTCTATACACATTGAAGACACTCCCTTCATGTGGACCTTTTCCATCCATCAGACAGACTGGACGGGTTGCGATTGCTATGCACAGCCGAATTGGCACTGTAGGTTTTTAGAGAGCCATTTCAAGTTTGTGTTGTTGAGGGGAGGTATTGAGTAAAGGATGAGGGAGGCATGCCTGAGGAGGGCCTCTCAGTCAGATCACCTGCAAGTTTCTGTTTCCTTTTTATGTTTTGTTGCTTTTAAACATAACACCAACTATCCATATGCCAGTGCCAAGTGGATTAACTGGCTCAGAACATTCAGCATATTGGCTTAACCACCTGACGTTCACAGTGTCTTGTTTCCTAGCAACAGATGCAAAGTGATAAATCAAAATTAGTCCGAGGCTGCAGATGTTACAGGGTATTTGTTCCATAGCACAAAGTATTCCCCCACTCTCGCGTCACAGCACAAACTACCAAATTTTAATTATTGGATTCCAGCAATAATTTTTAATGGTTTTCAAATGGGCAGAGTTTTGATAGTGCTAGTTCAAGTTTGAAGCTTTTGAATTAGATCTCTAAATGGTGACAGTTTACATGGTTTTACCTAGCTTTCTTATTTATACTTGACTGAATTGTAATGATTTTTTTCTAATTGTAATTTGACCTAATAGCCATATAAAAATGACTCTATTAATACTGACTAGGTTTAGCTTCTCATGGTTGTAGATATTACTTCAGTTTCGGTGCTGAGAAATATGTACAACGTTCTAACAAGATTATAAAATGATATCGAGGGCTTTTTTTTTTCTTTCCCCAAAGCAAGTGAAGAGGGCATCAGAATGTTAGAATGGTATCCTCAGAAATGCATATTCATTGTGGGGATAGAGGAAGTAGGAATCAATAAAGGGTTAATCAGTGGTTATAGCTTAACCCCATTCACTTAAGAATAAATCAAGTGGACAGCCCCAGTTTTTAGCATACTATTTTTACTATGATACTGTTTTGTTAATGCTTTTAAAATTTCAAAACAAAAAAATGAATGTTTGAAAATTGCTGGGTCCTGGTGTTTGGTGGTGGTTTGGAGTTTTGGACCGCTTGCTAGCAATGATTTAAAAATTATAATTAGCTAAAATCCAAAAACAAATAAAAAAGTAAGAACCCAACAACAGTTGTATGGTGCAGAACATGCATCTTGACAATGGTACTAACTTGTTATTCTGTAGAACACATTAGAATAGATCTATTTTTGCCAGAGCACCCTCCCTCAGTCCTCCAGTTACATTTCACTAGAGTTCCTTAAGAGATTGCTGTATATTCCTGGGACCTTTTTTAAAAAGAAGAAACAAAAGATTACTTTTTTCTATGTGATTAATATCTTACTTGATCTGCTTTTCCTAAACCTCAGTGGCTTTTCCCTTAGGCGGGAGTTAGGGGTGGGAGGGCAATTTACTGGATATGACTGTTTTCAGATACTTTAAAACAAACCTTTTTGTAGAAATGCTTAATTTTTAAGCAGTTAGGCACTGAGAGTAGCAGAAATCCTGCAAAGCTTTATAGTTCTTTAGGCGCTCGCCTTGTCGTTTCTCTGAGTGAAGTCTTGATTTCAGTACCAGTGCTTCTTATGCCCTGAATCTGTTCAAGAGGGGTGTTGATGTTTTCAGGTAACAACATTTGTTAGCACAAATACTTCAGACCAATATGTAGTGTCCAGACCCTACTTGTCATTTCATTTCATTTCATTTCTCTCATTTTTTTTATTTTTGGAAAATCATATTGGTGTGGTGTGTACGTTTAATCTGCCAGCAAATACCATCTACACTAACATTTGTCCCACAGTGTCCTGGAGAAAAAAAAAAATTTTTGCACCTTATGTATATCTCAAACAAACCAAAATGTGATTCTCTTCTGCTTTGTTTTATTCTAAATTGTTGTATCATATCTTTCTGAAACCATTCTGGATTTAGTTGAAATTATCAATATTTATGCTCTTAATCTTAATTTCTGGATTCAAACCTGTATATAAATTTGTTGGGAAAAAATTGTTGTAGCCCTTCTCTGCAATGCTGGAAGTGGAAGATTCCGTCTCAGATAGAGACGCAGTACTGTTCCAGTTTTCTTTAGCCTTTTATTTATTTAGTTATTCTGGGTTATTTCCTATGTAATTTTGTGTAGAGTATATTGTAAGTAACTAAAACTGCAGCTCTAAGAAGCGGAGTGAAAGAAAAATACTGTAAGAATCCTTGAAGTTATTATTTGTTGGGTACTGTATATGAGATCAGGAAAAGGAAAAATGTCCCACACTCCCATTGCAAATTCAGGTTCTTGCCCCCAAATTAGGCTAATCCTTGAGTTTATATCAAAATTCTTCAATTCATTAAACCCCTTTTTGAGCGCTGAATCATAGTATTGTAATTCTGATAGTCTTTTGCCCCACAAATATCAGAAATAGTTCTGTCCTATCAGACGTGGTCCCAAAGCCATACAGGAATAATTTCCGTGTAATTGTTATTCTACTTCCTGCCATTGCAACTATCAGAAGAAAGATAGTGAGGGAACACTATGAACAAAAAGAAGCATCTGAATGGGGCTGGTGGCTTAGCCTCTGACATATCCAATCTCTTGTTTTTCTGCTAAGTAAGTCAGATGCTATGTGAAGTCATAAAAAAAATATTGCACTCTGCAGTCTTTGGCTCAATGTATGGAAGTGTTTGCACATGTGTAAAATTGCTATAGAAGTTCACTGCAAACGGAATGACATTTGTTTATAGGGTAGGGTAGGGAATACTAAATAGCTCTGTTCCAACCAAGCTTGGCATTTTGGCATTAATGTGAAGCAGTGGGACCATGCTGCCTGCTCAACTACTGTATGAGTCCGAATCGTTCTGAAGACCAGCAGCGGGAGGCTGGAAGAGAGCACCCACACCACAGCGGAGAAGCACCACCGCCACTGTGCCATCACAGGAGAAAGGAAGAAAACCAGAGGCCTGGGGTCATCATTTGTAAAGGGAATGTGGGGGTGTACAGGATGCTGTTGAGATTCCCCTTTTGATTGCACTGCTCCACAGAGCCCCTGTGTAAGGCCAATCCTGTTGGGCTACCTCGGCTTTTAAAGTTCATTTCAGTAAGTCCTGTTTCACAAGTTTTGTCTTTTTTTATTTTTTTTTTTTTTGCTTTTACCTTCAGTGCCACTATTTTCCACTGCAGTGTTTTGACTTTATAAATCACCTTCTTCAGAGAGAACAATGTATTGCCAGAAACGGGCAGTCGATGCAAATGCTGTGCTGTTGTTACATTTGACCTATAAAGTATTGAGTGACTAGGTGGAAATTAAAATTTAGCTTTTCTCCCACTTAGCTCTTCGTTTTGCACCTTATACAAAGTGTACTAATGGCTAATTAGATGTTGCTTTTGTTTATACAAGCATTCCCAGAGTTAGCTTTGTACTTGGTTGTATTTGAGTTTGGGGATCCTTAAAAATTAGATTCACTAACAGCATACCTATCATGAAACAAAGAAGCAGTTGCTAGTTCATTGAACCAGATGTGTCTGTTGAAGCTATGGGGTTTGGTGGACTGCTTGCTTTAATTTGGAAGTGACAGCTAAGTTCATTATGCTTCGTATTCAGTGACTTTGTCCTTGTCACCAAGGACATTATCCTCCCATTTCAGAACAAAGAAGCAGCAAAAGAGTAACAAGACAAGATACACTTGACTTCCTCATACATCTCATCTGTCTGTGCCACACTTCCCTTCAAATACATAAATAGATATTTTCTGAGGAAAAGAAGTTTCCTTTCTGACCAAATTTTACCTGTGATATTATAATTTATACTAAAGCAGAACTGTGTAGTTCATAAAGTTCTGTGACCACTGGTTTTTTTTTTTAACTTTGCCTTTTTCTTGGCAGTCAGTGGTCAAAACTGATCATGCCCCATTGAAATTGGATTTTTATGTACAGAACTAGTTATTGTAAACGTTACTGCTCCTTCCAAAGATTTCCTGATAACTTGGGCCAGAACAGGTTCTTGAATAACAAGACTAATCAGATGCCTCCAAACCCTTGTACCACAATGCAAATCTTACCTCACAAACTCTTAACGTAAATCGCAGAGACACGTATGTTTCATGAATTATCACTGAGTTTTCTTTGTGGCCCACCAGCAAGGATGGGCTCATGTCCCCTGTCACTTGAGTGCCTCGGCTCTAAGAGCAGCAGAATCGAGGGTAGCGAAGGTTTGCAATCTAGAGCTCAGTAGATGGCTCAGCTACATTGGGGGGGGGGTGAGGTTGTTGGTTTCATTTCATTAGCACCAAATCCTTTTGTTCTCAGGAATATTCTCTCAGAGAATAAAAGTACCTGAGATGCAACATACCAGATTCTGAGCTTGCTCATAGGTTCAAATTGCTTATTTACATG